GCAATCCCTGTAGTCCTGCAATTTCTCGTCAGATTACGACGGGACATCAGGTTACGTCAGTAAATGAAATTAAGAAACCATATCAGCAAAAACGGAACACCATTAGACTGAAGTACAGGTTAATAAACCACGACCATTTCAAATGACACATTCAATTCGTCGCGATGCGAGAATAAACAAGAAACAGTGAAGTAAAGGGGAGGTTCCATGTAGAGAGCTTCCTGTTTACGTTGCGTCTGTATTGTGGCGGATATAATTTGAAGGCCGTCAATTCTCAAAAAAGCGCTCGGGCGGAAGAGAGTGACGGCGTGACGGCCTAGGAGATCTCCCGAAGGGACGAACTCGACTCATCGCGTTGCCGAGGCGTGCGCTGGCCAAAGGTTGACGAAACGCCGCCGGGCTCCCTACCGGTTGGTATTTTTGCGAAGGGTCGACGCCTCGGGTGAACTTCGGCGGCGGCTGCCAGGGTCGAGGCGTTGTCCGCACGCCCGCCGCCTCGCCCCGCCCGAACCAGGGGGAAAAAAAGAAAGGAATGGAAACCAAATAGTAAAAAGTGGTTTTTTTTTTAAACAGCATTATCGACAACGGGTCCCCGATACAAGCAAAACTAAATTCTTTTTTTTTATTTTTTGAAGGTTTAACCTTCATAAAATAATATGAAAACTCGGTAAGCAATTTAAGAGGCAATTTAATAAATAAATGGGAAATATTGAAAGCTTTTGGAATTGTGGAGCCGAAAAATGTCCAGAAGTCTCGGGAACGATTTGCGAATGATCTGTACGTTACGAGTAAAAACATGTGTCGAGCGAATGTAAATATCATGTTGCGAATTTCAGACAAGATATCTTATCGGTTGAGCAAGTTTGATGACTGATTCTTTTTCCAAAGACAACTTTCAACTCAGTGCTGTGCCAACTGCGAGATAAACAGGCCAGGGGTTCATAAACGAATTAATAATACGCAGCGTTTAAGAGCGCTTATTTCCCTTCTTACCCAACTACAAGAAAAGCTACGAAAGCAAACGACCAAAAAGCAGGATTGAGCAAACTATTTGACAGCACGTACCACTAGGCAATCCCTGTCAGTCCTGGCAATTTCTTCGTCAGATTACGCAGGGACTCAGGTTAACGTCAGTAAATGAACTAAGAAACCATATACAAAACGGAACACCATTAACTGAGTCCAGGTTAATAAAAGGACATTTTCAATGACACATTCATTCGTCGCGATGCGAGACATAACAAGAAACAGTGAAGTAAAGGGGAGGCTTCCATGTAGAAGAGCTTCCTGTTTACGTTGCGTCTGTATTGCTGGCGGATATAATATTGAAGCAGTCAATTCTCAAAAAAGCGCTCGGGCGAAAGAGAGTGACGGCGTGACGGCCTTACAGGAGATCTCCGAAGGGCGACTCGACTCAATGACGTTGCCGAGGCGTGGTGGCAAAGGTTGACCGAAAAACCGCGGCCCCCCCCCGGGCCTCTCCTTTTCCCCCTATCGGTTGGTAAATTCTTTTTGCGAAAGCGGGGTCGACGCTCGGGTGAACTTCGCGGCGGGGCTTGCCAGGTCGAGGGTTGTCCGACGCTCGGCTGCGCCTCCCACTAAACCCGCTCCGACCCGTGCCTACACGCCCGCTCCCGAACGCCCCATTCCGCCTCGCTCCGATCCCCCGCCCACACCCTCAGTGCGGTCGCCCGCCACTCGCACGCCTCCCACTTTTTCCCGGCCTCCCGCCCCGCCACTTTACCCGCGCGTTCTTGACTCCATCTACTTATCTTGCACCCGCCACTCACCCTTGTACTCCCCGCTTACTCATCTTGCCCCGCCCTCGTCCCATCATCCTTGTCATCTTCTGCTCCACTCCAGACATATCTCTCCGTGCCCGCTCCACCCTTCCGTCAGTTCTCCACGCCCCAGCTCATCTGCCTCCCTGCCCACTCATCTGTTCGCCCGTTATACTCACCCCGACCCGCCCACTTGCACCCCGCGAGCCACTCAATCCGCCCCACCCACTCCATTCCCAGCACGAACAGCCACCGCACTTTCCTGACCCGCGCTCTCTCTCCGTTCCGCCCAGCCCTCCGATCCGGCTCGTCCACGTCCCGTCCCGTCCAATCCCCGCCCCGC